AAGAGTACTAGTGGAACATGCCAATTCTTAGGAAATTCACTTGTTTCTTGGGCTTCCAAGAAACAAAATTGTGTTGCATTGTCCACTACGGAAGCGGAATACATTGCCGCCGGCTTATGTTGTGCTCAAGTCTTATGGATGAAACAAAGCTTAGTTGACTATAATTTGAGTTTTCAAAATATTAAAAAAATTTGTGATAACACAAGTGCTATAAATATTTCCAAAAATTCGGTTTTGCATTCTAGAATCAAGCATATTGATGTGCGCCATCATTTCTTACGCGATCATGTAGAGAGACAAGATGTATCCCTAGTATTTGTTGACACAAAATCTCAATTAGCGGATATATTTACTAAGCCTCTTGGAGAGGATGATTTTTGTCGCATAAGAAATGGTTTGGGCTTATGCACTATGTGAAAGTTCTACATTGTTTGCTTGTTTAGTTGCATTTTATATTTCTCTTTACCCCATTTTTTATGGTGACAAAGGGGGAGAGAAATCTCCTCATTTGTTGCATATACTTAGGGGGAGCTCATAGATAGGGGGAGCACCTATCTATAAGTTATTTTATTTTTGCTCTTATAATGGTTGGTTGTCATCATCAAAAAGGAGGAGTTTGTTAGCCCTTATGTTTTGATGATGTTTTACAACCACCATTAACGGTACTAATGGCTTATTGAGTACAAATATAGTAAATTCATTTATCAAGCTTGTTAGTGCCATTTATGGAGGATTGGATGGAATATACGCTACAACGATGATATCCAAAGGAGGAGGAGGCATAGTGATGAAGCAATGTTATTTCAAGAACAACAAATTCATATAAAAGCTTCATCCAAAATCAAGCTATATCAAGACTCAAAGATCGTATTCTATGTGAGGATATTAGCTAGTTTTTATTCTCTCTCTAGTATTAGGATGTAGGCAAAGAGTTATTGAATTCACTTGAAGCTATTGGGACTCACACACACATTTTCATACTTAAGCTTTTAAGCGTTTTTCACAAAATACTATTTTTCACAAGTATAAGGACCTATCTGCAAAATTCCTTTTCTAAACAGTTTGTTTTTAGTATTAAAAACATTTTATAAAGTTTCATAATTTTCAGAGGTCATATAAATATTTTCTAAATATTTTTGTTTGAGTCAAAACACTTTTCTGGAGCATATCAGAATGCAGTCGACCGCACCGGTCGACCGCACTTAAGGTCATTCGTCACTGGGCTCCAGAGAGGTCGTCGGTCGACCGGTGCGGTCGATCGAAATCTCGATTTTTATATCGGTCGACCGCATCGGTCGACCGATGATGGCTCTGCTTGTTTTCTAAGTTTTCAAAGCTGTTCGCGGTCGACCGGATTTTCGGTCGGTTGACCGAATTCATCTTTTCGGTCGACCGAACGTTCTGGCGGTCGACCGATGGTTTATTCGGTCAACCGTGACTTTTTCTCAAACGGTCGTTTGTCTTGTTTACTGTGCTTTTACTTAACTGTGTTTGGCACAATCTGCTACAATAGTCTGAATAGGAGATTATTTTCTTAATTGGGAAGATTGAGTTGTGATTTTAAAATGATTAATCCTTTCTATATAAACCAAGACTTCTTCTTCTTCCTGTTGCCCTAACTTCTGCTGAAAAACCAGAGAGACGCTGTCTTCTGAGAAAAATTTTCAAACTCTGTTTTTTGTGGTTTTTCACTGTGTTTCTTGTGTGAGTTCACTTCCCAGCTTCAGTACTCTTTCTCTTTACCACAGGGACTTGTAAAGAGAGAGTCTTGCATCATTTCTACTGCTGTGTGAGTGTGATCTTGTGTAGATCAACTGTGAGGGTGTGGGATCTGTTAAGATCAACTGTGTAGTGAGAGATTGAGAGGGAATCGCTGTGTAGACGAAGCTCCGGCTTCCAAACCAGGTGTGTAGTGGATTTCTCCTCGAGAGTGGGGAGCGGGGACGTAGGTCAGTGGACCGAACCTCGTTAACACATCGCGCGTCAAAGGATAACAATTCCTAACCCTATCTCTTTTACTTTAATCGCATTAGAATATTTGTGGTTTGCTTGTGTTTATTTTTTATTGCATATTAGAGCCTCTTGACCCTAATCACCCTCCTCTAGGGTCTAACATGAGCATGTTTTTCCTCCAACTTTATTCCACGATTTAAATCCTTTAACTGTAAATGCATCAGAACCTTTGTGACCCCTTGGTGTGTGAAAAAGAAAACAAGGCAAGCAAAATAAAGCATCTTTTATCAGGAGAATACTCCAACCAGTCAGGAAACAAGGCAAACCAATCAAACACAAATCGACGGGGATTAGGATCATCATTTAATGGATACTCTTCCATTTTGAACTTGTAAGGTCCCATAGCTAAATATGCCCTCCTTACTTCATCTTTTACATCTCCATGATAGCTCGAAATATGAGGACGTAAGCCTGGATCACGCTCTAAATTGTTTATGTCAATATCACCACGCTGTTTCTTTTTAGGCCGATTTAGTTGACTAGAATCAACAACTGGGCGTTTTACAACTACTGGAGGAGACACCAACTCCTCAGTCTCCTCTGATGGAGATACAATGTCTTGAGAAGCTTCTGTTCCTTTTTTCTTAAAAAATGAAAAAAGTGTTGTCACTGTTTTTCCCATCTCCTCTATTTAAGTTTAGACAACTAGATAAAATTAGATACTTTGATTAAAAATTATATAAAACACTCAAGCTCAAAAGACAAGCAGGATGAGCCGAACTGTAATTTAATTCAATACAAGTATTAAGTTTACAACTGCTGAATTGCATGATTCTTCTCCCTATTTCTCCAAATAATTCAATTACAATTTGATTATGCCATTACCAATTCTTAAGAAATAAATTACTAGCTAAGCAAATCAGCCAAACAGGAGAAATTACAAAATCAAGTTAATCAATACAAATGGAAAAGAATAGAAATTCACAAGCCTTACAGAAAAATAGAGTAGCCTTTTGCCCCAAAAGTTAGAATCAGCTTCGATTTTGTTTGGAGATTGAAAATTCTGATTCCAATTTGAGAATCGGAGCAGACGTTGCGGACTTGCGGAGTAATTTGGGAAGAGAAAAGAAACAAATGGACTTCTTCTATTTTGCCGCCTCTGTTTCGACTTTGATATGTTTTGCCTCCTTGTTTTTTGTTTTTTCTTAACAAAGCCAACATAGATAAGTTCCTAGGATTTTTTCAATTAGTTTTGTGCTTTTCCTTAACACGTGGCAATTGACATGGCAATAATGATAAGTGTGTTTGCTAAGGCCATGTTTGGCTATGTTATTTCCTTATACTTTAAAATGGTAATAACTAATAAAAAATATGTCAAAATAAATTTAGTATATTATTTTATACAATAATTATTTATTAATATAATATCACTGTAGTAAATATAGGCGGGGTGCAAATATACACTATATTTAAATATAAATATATAGTATATATATATATATATATATATATAATATATATAATATAGTATACTATATAGTATAGTGATATATCTTTATATATTCAAACAAAATTTGAACGAAGGGGGGCCGATCGCCCCCCATACGAAGCACTAAGTCTTCCGGCACTGGATAGAAGCTGGAAGAGATGAGGTGGATGCAAATAATACCGACACGCACGGTCGTGTGTTTTTTTTTTCTTTTTTGTTGGTGGTGTGGCGTGGTGGTGGTGGTGGTGTGTGGCGGGGCGGGGGGGGGGTTTGGACTTAAGGGTAATGACTAATATCAACATATTAAGGTACTTTGGACTAATACAAAATATGAAGTTCTAGGGGACTAATCACACAATACCTATTATTCATGGGACTAATATCTAAAAAAACCCTAACTTAAAAGGGAAATGTTTAGGATTAACCGATACACTTAGATGCACAGCATAAAGAGTTAATTGCATATTAGTGTCTTACATTATTCCTAATTGCTGATTACTCCTTCATATCTCAATATTCGTTCATTACTCCCTCAAAGCTCCATTTTTTTTGCAATTTCATCTCTCTGTTAGAACTCATGTTAGTTTCCCTAGCTTTAGTTAGGTTAATTTAATCCCTAATCCAACATCTAGAAACTAGAGTTACCTAATTTCCCTTGCGTGTGTGTTACACTGTCAAGCAACCCAAAGTTCATTTCTTCCCTAAACTTTCCCGCTCTATGAAAGGGGGAAAGAAAAATCTATGAATTGGTTTGGTTTTAATTTGAGTGGGTTGTGTGTTTAAACTAGGGCTGAGCATGCTTCGGTCCAAACCGAAAAAACCGACTGAACCGACCCGAATCGACCCGAAAAATCGGTTTTATGAGTAGGGCGGTTCGGGTCGGTTTGAAAACTTTTCAACCCGAACCGACCGAATATAGTGCAATACTACACATTCTGATCTCAAACCCTACCCGACCCATCACCAAAGAGTCAAAGACTCAAACTCTAAACTCATTTTCTGGATCATTATGGGTTAAAAACAATATCATTATATCAGTGTTTAATGCTTCATAATCTCCTACTTTGTTGATTTTTTTCTTTAACACAGTTTGTTGTTTGATAAGAAGTTTGATGAAGTTAGAACCGAACAAACCAAACCGAACCACACCGAACCGACTTGTAACAGTTCGGTTCGGTTTTGAATTATAGGCGGTTCGGTTCGGTTGTTCAAATTTTGGTAAAAACCGAACCGAACCGACCGTTGCACACCCCTAGTTTAAACCCGTTATGAAATGGGGTTGTAAGCTTTTAAATGACGGAGCTAATTATGAGTAAGGGTATAATAGGAAAACCATTAATTTCTATTAAACTCGACAGATATCCACCCTTATAAATAAAGTTATCTAACAAGTGGGATGAAATTGTATAAAAAAAAAGATTTGAGGGACTAGGGAGCAAACACTGAGATTTGAAGGACTAATTGGCATTTAATGATGATGTAAGGGACCAATATACAATTAACCCCAACATAAATGATGCACAAGGTCCCACTTTTTATCAGTACGCTTTAACTGATGCACAGGTGATACTTTAAAGGAGCTCTCTCACGAGATCCAACGCCTCCCTTCTTCTTCTTTCTTCTCCTTCTTCTAGCATTCTCTTTTCTCTCCACTGTATCTCAATGGCGCTCTCTCGATCGCTTCACCTCATCTCTTCACTTCCCCTATCATTATCTCCTCCTCCGCCTCCTACCTTTAAACCCACCGCTCTCTCATCCAAAGCCCTATCTCTCCCATTTCGTACAAACACTCGCCATCGATCTCTCAACCGAATCCTATCAGCAGCCGCTACCACCGCGACCGCACCCCCGACGGATCTGATCATAAATGCCGGCGATGACTTGCCGGAGGAGTACGGGTCGGAGTTCCCGTCGCGGGATCCGACCCGCCGGAGGAGGGCGGGGGTTCTTCTCCACCCGAGCTCGTTGCCTGGGCCCTACGGGATCGGGGATTTTGGGGACAATGCTTTTAGGTTCTTGGATTGGCTTCACTCTGCTGGTTTCTCTGTTTGGCAGGTGCTGATCTTTATTTTTTTTTAAAAATCCCTCTCCAATTAAGACCCTTCATTTGTCTAATTTGCAATTTTTTCTTTTATTTAAGAGCTCTTCGGTTGCTTATTTCTGGGTAATTATCAATTGAATTGTGTAATGCAAAGCTTTTGGAGGCATGTAAGTAGCAGTTGAAGTGTGCATCGTGTTGGTCGCACGATTTTACTTCTTGAAAAATATCTTGAAGTTATGTTGCATCACTAATAGTTTTGGCTGAAGTTGCTCTAATGTGTTGATCTCGAGAAGGATGATGTGCATTTTTAGCCTGAGGAGGCTATCATTGGGTTAATCATTTATAGCTTTTGAGATGTTTCGTGCATGGTGGGGAAAAAAAAGGTTCCAGTTTATTAGTCAAGTCCGAGTTTAGATTCTAGTTGCCCACAGATGATTTATAGTCAAGTCCTTCCCTTTGGGAATTTTTGGTGATGGAGTATGGTCAAGTCCTTCTCTTTGAGCTTTTTATGGTCGGCTCTATCCATTCGATTTCTTCAATGGCCGCCATCTCTGTTAAATTAGCACATGACTTTAGAATGGTTGGATCCATGTCCATTTTGGTGTCTTCCACCTCTACTGAAAAACAAACATTGACTTTTAATATGGGCTTGTTGATCAATATTCTTTTGAGGGAAAAGGTAGAATAAGGCAACTCTATTTCAGAGGTCTTATTTCAGAGACTATAATGAAACAAGAGTTACAAAGGCATGTAGCCAGAATGTGAGGTCGTAACTTCTGAAGGACCCTTATAGGCCTAGTAAAAGAATATGTCAATGCTAAAATACCATTACAACTTGACATGTAATATCAACTTAACATGATAATGTGTAGCAACTAAAGGTTTGAAATTTCTGTAATCAGCCTCAATGTTGGTCCATGATTTATAATAGCAATTAATGGGTATGAAGTGACGGCTCATTTAGCAAAATGAGCTACCAAGAGATAGAGGCGGTAAGGTCCACACCTTTTGATGTGAATAGTTGGGTGGGCCTCACTAGTAGCCTATCTCTTGATAGCTTATTTTGCTAAATGAACTGCCAGCTCATAACCTTAAAACCTTTATAATATTTAGTTTCAAAAGTTCTGTTTGTTTCAACAGCTTGAGCTTGGATGTATCGGATGTAAGTACTGGGAGTTTTGGCCATTCGGAGATCACAAATTTTGTACGTTGGTTTACCGTACTGTTTAATACTACCAAATAAATTTTGCTTCTTCAAGTCTCATATCCATGTATCATCATTTCTAACCAATATCAGTTTGTGTCAAGTATTATTAGTCGTATCAGTGATTTCAGATGATTTTGATTAGATTCAGCCTTTGGGTGACATGTTTAAAACCCAACATTATATGGAGATTGATACATGTCAGGTATTTCAAACCTTAGAAGCAACAAAAATGAGAGCTTAGGTAAGCCTAGAGGCAGTAAATACCAATCTATAAGGAATCATCCCCGTTCATGGTGTCATTCACATTGTGAACCTTTGGACCTTGATCTCTAGTATTATTAATCTGTTATTTTTGTCTGCACTGGTTGTTATGAAGGGCCTTTTTTGAGTGAGATTACTGTCTGCACTGGCTGTAATGAAGGGCCTTTTTTGGGTGAGATTAATATACTCAGGCTGTTCTCTGAAGGTTCAATCAGATAACAGATATAAAGTTGAAAATGGTTCTTCTTACGCACCTATCTGCGATCATTAAATCTGTATATGGTACAACATTGTGCATCATATTTTGTTGAATTCTACTACAAGGGAATTGATTGAACCGCTGTCCTTCTCCATTCTCTGACTGTAAGCTCCTTTTTCTACTCTTGCAGGTGCTACCACTTGTTCCCCCAGGGAGAAAGTCCAACGAAGACGGATCCCCATATTCAGGCCAGGTTAACAGGAAAACTTTCCTATTCAATGAGTTTAGCTGTAGAAAATTTGAATAATGTATCTGATTTGCTGCAGCATCTAGGTTCATTGTCTTTGGGATTCCTGTTTCTATGGGAATTTCTGAGGAGGGTATCCCACCCTACAAGTGTTTTGATTTTATGTCTTTTTAAAGTGAAGTCATTCTATTATCTATTACTATTATTTAAGAAAAGCCACTCTTTTGGTTCTACTCTTGTGTGTGTCAAGATTTCAAAAAATTTGACATTGTTTTCTCATCAAAAGAAACAGATGAAGTTGTCATTGTTCTATTGATTTAAAAACGAAAATATTACAAGTTTGATTCTGGAGAGTTGTGCCGGAAGAGACTAGACTTTGGCTCTGATGACCACACAAACAATGTTGCTTGAGTTGCTGCCATTGACATCGAGTTTGGTATGAGGGGAACTCTTGTTCAAAGAACTATAGTTTGTTTTGGAGGGATCACCTCTAATAACAAACCAAAATAAAAAAGGCTATAATTTGTTCTGGAGGGATCACCTCTAAAGACCAATTAAACCCCGAAAGGAGTGATGAGGTGATAAACACCGAGCTTTGTGAACAAAGTGAGTCGGATAAACCATCTATTAAGCTAATGGATGGCTAAACTCTTGGATTGCAAGAGCTAATTGCTGCCATGTTGTGGAACTAGTTGGAGAGCAGCAACAGGAGCAACCAAAAATATTGAGGGATTGACAGCCTTTGAAAAGTTGGTGAACGGCTATACTTATAGGCGGAAATCTGCCCGAGCCCTGGAGCTATCCCGTGTCACGGAGCTGACACCGCCATACTGGCATTAAATGTAGCGGAATGTTGCTCAATTCATTTTTGACTCCTGGAGCATTAAATCGCGGAGCAATGATTTTCAATACTTTATTAGCTACATGATCCAGAATTATGAGGGATTTTGAGGCTAACTCAGCACATTCTCCAATGGAACAGTACAACACAGATCTGACGCCATGAGTGCAATATCCTTTGCGCCGAATGAGGATTTGACCTCTGACATATGCTGCTGTCCAACCTGTGTCTTTGAGATAACTCTGCAACCATTGCGGGGTTAAGCCTGCTTTAGTTGTGTGGAGCTCAGCTAGGAGCCTGTTAACTCTGCGACTCGTAGTTGCATGACTCAAACTTGTCTAGAGCGAAGCTAAGGTTATTTTCAGCTCATTTGACTTAGGATTTGGGCTTTAGTATTCTTAGTCAACTTGTGGACTTTCATTACATTTGATAATTCCATGGGTAATGTTAAATGACCAAATTGCCCCTAGTGGGGCCGATGCTGCATTAGGGTGATCTGTTGGATGCATTGCATTTTTAACCGCCCACAAATATGTCCTCAACAATTTACACTAAATTAAAACTAATTAGAAGGGAAAAATTAGAAAGATCTAAAAACACCCTAGCTACCATTCACTATTTGATAATTCCCTCCTCTCCCCACATTTTCTAAGTAAGATACTTTGTCTCACTTTTGGCAATGATTTTCTAAAACTTATTTCCATCATTTTTTAAAAAAAATTTGTTCATATTAGCATTGATTATTAAGGTGCTAAAACATTTTTTTACGCACAACCTTACTATTTAATGTACACATCGCATGCATTGGAGAACTAGTTGTATATAAAGTAATCTGCTAGTGAGTATGAGTAAAACCAATAATTTTAATTTAGTTATTTCTGCAAATGGTAAAAACTAAATTTAAATAATCCATAAGCTATTAAAATTTAACATTAACTAAAATTGCCTATTTTCACATGAAAGAAGAGTATATTGCAGAGCCCTAAAATAATTCATATTGAAAATATTCAAAAGGAAAGTGAAATGTTTTTTTCTTAAAAATATGGGTATATATAAAAAATCACTATTACTTCATGAAAAAAAATTCACTTCATACCACATATCTTAATATCCTTTTTGGTGGTAATTCTTTAAACATTTCTACAATTTTCGAGTATAAATAGTTAAAAGTTTAGGTTTTAATCGTGCAAACTAGTCTAATGCAAAACGAAGATAAATACATGTTTGATGAAAATTATTACCCAATAAATGCAGTCAACTATCGTTAAAACCTTACTCTAATGTTACGCACACGTTTACAAACACGTATCTTTATCAACTGAACAACATAGGTCCTTATGATCAAATGACATTTTAATGACTTTTTATGCGCACTTTAGAAATTGTTGGTATTCTACTGTCACTTTAAATAACATCGGCCTAGGTGTTTAAAGATGGGACCCTACAATGTCGGAAGTGCGAGATCTACATACCTGTTGCCTGCAACACTGATAAAAAATGAAGGGGGTGGGGGGAGGTAGGGGATGGGTAGAGGTTAGTAAGAAAAGTTAACTGCAAACATATAGGCTCAAAGCAAACACAGGTATGCTCACACACACGCACGCACGCGCGTGGACGCACGCACGCGCGCGGACGCACGCTGTGTGTATATATATATATATGTATGTATGTGTGTGTGTGTGTGTGTGTGTGTGTGTGTGTGTGTGTGTGTGTGTGTGTGTGTGTGTGTGTGTGTGTGTGTGTGTGTGTGTGTGTGTGTGTGTGTGTGTGTGTTTATATATATATAAACATGAAATTAATACATATAATGTATGTATAGTCGTACAAAAAAAGCGAGGGAGGGAGGGAGCAATGAACAAAGATAGGCAAAATCATTGTATTGCAAAACCATGGAGACCGTGTGGCTTGTACTGTAGGTAACACTTCATGGCATAGACAAAGCAAGGAGCCAAAAGTAATATGTATAAACGTTTCCTCAAGAAAGAGTATACGCTAATGAGGAATTTTCTAATGCCAACTTTAAAATTATAATAGTACAAGAATGGTTTTTCTGTACAGTTAATGTGACCTCAGAATGACAGTATGACAATATAATATGACCCCATAACGGCCCTGCAATTAAGGTCTAAATCTGATTAAGAATTTCTTTTGTGTGCTAACATATTGTTTATGCAAAAATATCATGGAGTCCAATTTTATTACCTTATATTTAGAACAATATTTTTTTACAACATTTGTTATTTGTATGAAGGATGCGAACTGTGGAAACACCCTTTTGATCTCCCTTGAAGAACTCGTCAAAGATGGCCTTTTAATGGCTGATGAACTTCCGGAAGCCATGTGAGTTTTCTTGTGTAATCTGCTGAACATGATTGAATTTATCAAAGTTTCTTTCCTTTTTTGATTTTCACATTCAAAGTAATCAAATATAGGAAAGTGGAGCAAGTTCAATTTGCAGCAGTTGCAGGTGTAAAAGATCCTTTAATAGCGAAGGTTAGTAACATGATTAGTTGTGGAGATTTTCATTTTGAATCCTTTCTGCATGTTGCTACATTCATTGTAGTGTCATTATTTCAGTTTCGTAATTTGCTATAGTGTTTTAGATACGTACTTTATTATTTTTTAATAGCAAAGGTTAGTTTATGAAACTGAAATGCATTTTTTAATTTCTCTGAACATAATAAAGAAGTTAAGCATCATTCATTAACATGATTAGTTATGGAGATTTTCATTTTGAATCCTTTCTGCATGGTTGCTACATTCGTTGTATTGTCACACGCATAAATTTATCCTACATAGATTCTCATTTACTTCTGCAAGTTTTTGAACTTTCTTTCCATTTTGTTGCCGAAAGGTTGGTCCTGCAGACCTCAGAGCTTGACATCATGGATTCTTGAAAGATGCAAATTTTGTTTATAGTTGCATTTCATTAGAACCAAATGCCACATGAGCACTCTTCCCTTCTATTTTTGACATCTCAAACTTGACTATATTTTGCTTGGTAAGACTTGGTTGATATAAATAATCATTTACAGGCATGCTATCTTTAATCTGTAGCCATCAGTTTTATATATGGATGAATTATTTGATTTGATTATGTGGATGGTAGGTAGGCATTAATTATATAAATCAACCTTACATAGTATGTGTTTCTGAAATATCCGAATCTGCCTTTTTTTTTTCCTCTTCGTGTAAGTTAATATGTTCGGGTTTTTTTTATTCTGATCTATTAGGCAGCAAAGAGGCTCATTTCAAGTCGAGGAAAGCTCAAAAGACAGCTTGACAATTTCCGCAAAGACCCGAGAATTTCATGTGAGTTGTTCTGCTCCCCAACTAAATGCATTTTTTACGTTCTTCTTTGCATGAGTTCTGATGAGAAGATATGTTTACCCTATTCATTGAGTGTACTGGGTCGAGTAAAGACTTGTGATTCTGTATTTTGGTGTTACATTTAGGCACTCTGGATCATGACATCCACAATACGCTTAAACGTTAAAAGTCTTATTTCTCAAATCAGGACATTAGATCTATGTATGTTTCCAAGGTCTACTTTGTCAAAGGAAAAGACCTAGTAAATCTTATTGATTAGAGTACCAATACGATTATAGTAGGGGTATCCTCGGTTCGAGGCCCGGACCCAGCCACGGTGTTTAGACTGGACCGGCGCGGCGCCGCCCTACCCGGATTCGAGAAAGATCGGGCTACGAGCCTGGGTCTGGGTCGCCTCGGTTGCGCCCGCACCCGGACTTGGCCTGGTCGGGTACCCGGACCGAGGCCCCGGCTCCGACGGCGAAAATGGACCGAGCCGCGTTCCGGCCTGGCCGGTGGCTGAACGCGTCACTTTTTTGACGTTAGGCAGGGCGGCCAGGATCTGGCCCGGTTCGGATAGGCGTAACACCTATTTTGGGTATTTGATCAAAATACCCCTAAAAACGGTCAAAAAACGATCAAAATTTGATGGTATTTTGGTCATTTGGCTAGGGGCTGCCTCTATAAATAGAGTGTTTTTATTTATTTTTCTCATCCAAAACTCATCTACTTCTAATACTCTTATACTCTCTAATACCCTCTTATACTCTCTTATTCTTTCTTATACTCTCTAATTCTCCAATCAAATAGCTTCCTCCTTATAAAGCGCAAGTTCCAACTCCCGATATCAAAATGGGTCCTACTACACCTACAAAGCCTATCGCTACTCCTACTATCTATGTTGATTCTGATTCCGGTGACGGTGATCTCACACTTAGAGCTCCCAAAAGGCCCAGATTCGGTGTGAAATTTTTTCGAGAAGATAGAAGTCATTAGGGATCAACGCAGTAAAATTTTCACCTAGAAGGTCAAATGTGTTGTGTGGTCATAATTTTCAAGCTCATCATAAGAGTGGCACCAACCATCTCAAAAGCCATTTGGAAAAATACAACAGGACGTAAGGAGGAATGTTTCAAGGAGACATCCGCCAATCTCTATTCTCTCAATCATCCACCTCCGGTAGCCTTGGTTCCTAGAGCTATGAGGCAGTGCCAGTTAAAGCTAGGAAATGTGTCATCAGATTTATTGTTCTTAAAAATCTTTTAAATTAGTAGAAGATGATGAATTTAAAGATAGGATTAGAGATGATTTTTCCTGTATTTCAAAAATTTTCTTGTTAATCTTGTCAATGTGATATTTTGAAATATTATCATAAGGAACAAACAAAAATAATTTCTTATTTTCAAGGTTTAAACTGTAAATTTTTTCTAACTTATGATATTGGACGTCTAAAGCACAAACTGGTTATTTATATATCACAACACACTGGATTGATGATACTTAGCAAATGTTTAAAAGAGTTATTTTTTTATTGCATCTGAAGATTCACATACTAGTGTTAATGTTGTAAATTTAATAATACAAGAAGTTTCTAAACTAGAAATTTAAAAAAAATATTTTTTCTTTCACTAGATAATGCAAGTAATAGTAATATAGCCGTAGATCATATTAAATCATCTTTGCTATTGCTATGTCATGATGATATTTTTCATATTAGATACACGTATCATATTTTAAATTTAATTATTCAGAAGTACATTTAATGAAATTAAACCTATGATAGAAAAAGTTAGGGTTATAGTTTATGCTCATAATGCTTCTGAACAAAGACTTAAAAAGATGGAAGTAATTTGGTAAAAAAAAGAAACCGAAGTCATTTCCAAAAGATGTTGACCGTAGGTGGAATTCCTCATATGCAATGTTCAATGTAGCTATACAGTATAAAGGAATTATAAATGATTTTATTGCTTTCTATGCTTCTAGTTCTAGCTCTGATAGTATGTATGGAATAATTGCTGACGAGTGGACAATTATATGTAGTGTAAAAAAGATGCTACAAGTTTTTTATAAACCTACTATGTTATTATCTGGTTGTTATTATCTAACTATTACTCAAGCTACTTTACAAGTTTTAGATATTCAATTTTTTTTACTAATTATCGATGAATAATTATTTTGGAAACATGATTTTTAAAATAGAAAGTAAATTTAATAAGTAATTTAGACCGATTTCTATTATTGATTCATGCTTGAAGGATATTGCCTTTTAAAATTTGTTAAATTCTTTATATGAGAATATGATAATAGACGTTGATGATGGTCAGACTGTTACTGCTCTTACTCATCATAACACTATTAATTATTATTTTTTAAAGATTATATGATGAGTATGCATGTAGATATGATGTAAGTACACCTCAACCTACATCTTCTACAAGTTCAAGACGGGGCAAATGTAAGATACTAAGATTTTTGATAGGCAGTCGATGATAGTGAGGCTAACTGGTAGTAGCCACGGATCTGAATCTGGATCATCATCAAGGTAAATTTTTAAAATTGAACAATATTTAGCCGTATTTTTAGTTAATTTTTAAAATAATAATTTTGGTATTTTGCAATGATGGAGAATATATGAAACAGTTTCATACCTATACTTTTCATTATGGTCGTGACTTACTAACAATGCAGGTTTCTATATTATCTTCGAAATCCGTCTTTAGCACATTAGGACGTTCGATCGACAATCACAAAATATTATTTAGATTTGTCTACCGTACATGTGGTAATGTGCCTATAAAATTAGTGGAGGTCCGAGAAGAGAACTCAAGGCATCGATCAGATAGCTAGTATTGAAGATAGATGGCAATAGGAGAAGGAGATAGAGAATATAAATTAGTTTGAAATTTTTATTTCCTAGCTGTAACTTTGTGATAACTTATTTTGGAAAGAGACGCAAGATATAGATGAGTAGGTGCCAACCTAGTTGTGATGTATTCATCTATTATGATGTAACGAATTTCAAAAAAAATTATAACTGTTAGTGATTAATAATAAAGATTTTATCATTTTAATTTCTATGATATTTGTATTTGCAAATTGTGTATTTATAAGTGATTAATAATATGGTTAAATTTTTGTCCAAATTTTCCATATCTTAATTACTCTTGAAATTTCTTTTTTTTGAAATAACTAAATTTTAAGCAACTTAAAAAAAAATCGGGTTGGCATTGAACCCGGGGCTGGCCCCGCTAGGTCCTGGTCTGGGCCACCCGTTTTGCACGGGCCGGACCCAGATTTTCGGGCCGGGCAGGACCGGTCCGAATGGACAAGTCTAAATTATAGGGTTATAATGCGAATATGGATAACAGATCGATACCCAATAATCGAATACTTGATCAAATACTTACCTAACTAATTTAACTCTCACCCTCAAGCTGGGGCATAGATATTAATCATGTCCAGCATGTTACATAAAGTAGAAAACACTTTAGGTGAAGCCGCCTTTGTGAGAATTCCTGCCAATTGTTCTAAAGGAATGAATAGAGTGTGAATCAAGTTTTTCATCACTGCATTCCTAACAAAATGACAATCAACCTAAATTTGCTTTGTTTTATCACGAAAAAAAGGATTCTTGGCAATGTAAATAGCAGATTGATTATCACAGTGCATAAGCATAAGTTTAGGCTGGACAAAACTAGGTCTAACGTTATTCCTTGGTCACATCATCTCACAAGCTTTATGCACCATCGCCCTATACTCAGCCTCTGCTCTAGATCGAGAAATCACATCATGTTTTCTCTAAGTTACTAGATTGTCTCCAACAAATGTGCAATACCCAGTAGTAGACTTCTTGTCTCCCTTATCTGCTACATAGCCTAATTTAGAATATGTGGAGATATATGCATTTTCACACTTGTTGTATACCAAGAGAGCTTTTCACATAAGCAAGACCCTCAAAGCAGCTCCCCAATGAACCTCTCTAGGCTTGTGCATGAATCGACTTAGAATCCCAATAACATAGGATATTTCGGGCAGTGTTTTCAAATGCGCGCGCCTCATTGCGCCTCATGCGTCTTACGATGCGGGGCGGTGGCGATGCGCCCCACATCTGATGCAGCAGCGCCTTTTGCGCCTCGCGTACATACGTACTTTGTGTAGGATGCATGTAGTGCATTTCCCCATATAGTTTTTTTTGTTAACATTTCAATCGAGTCTTTATACTTGATATTCCATATCCCAAAAAACAAAATAAATCCATTGGGCTTTTTTAATAACCTTCAATTGAGGACCATTACTAATCCTTAGTTTGGGTATAAGTCTTGATTTAACATTTGATTTGAAAATTTATGAAATTTGCTACTATGTTGGGTGTTAGCATTAGAAATTAAGGCAATATATTGTGATTTTGTAGCAAGATATTATTTATCATGATATTTTTTATGTAAATTCTAAAAATATGTTCTTTCATGCTTGATTACATATATTGAAATATTATGTGTGTGGTGTGCGCCTCGCATCACTCGGGCGCGCGCATCGCGTTACGCCTTGCGCATGTGCGCGTAAAGATGCTTTGCGCCTCGCATTGCGCCTCGCGCATTGAAAACACTGATTTCGGGTCTAGTGATTGTAAGTTATATTAGCTTTCCAATCAGGCTTTATATCTATTCGCAGAGCCATATGGCTGATACTTCATAGTATACACCCATCGACAACCATTAACCCATGCACCCATCGAAGTGGGGACTAAGTTCTAAGTTTTCCTAGAGACAAGTGTATCCATCTAATTTATAGCTTGTTTCTAGGTAGGAACTAACATTGCCTCTTCATGAAACCTGGGTATAGATTCGGTAGACAAAGATAGTAAATTAGCGGAAGGATGGGATGAGACAATCATAAGTGATAAAATTGAAGATAGGATAAGCTGTAGTAGATCATTTACCTTTTCTAAGGGCAATAGGAAGATCAAGATTAGAAAGAGTAGAAGATTGCTGATGGGTGTATCT